GAACCGAAAACCGTGACCACGAAACTGTGAACCGAATCGTGGATTTTGTGAACCGTTCCACCCCTAGAAACTAATAAAACATAAATTGTTTGATTAGTTCTAGGTTAATATGTTAGGACCATGGCTCACTCCCCCATTTCAAATCTCAACTCAAAATAAATAGTTTAAGCCTGCCTTTTTATCTGAGTCCTATTGATATTGTCATTGCCTTTCTCTAAATCATTGATCTTTATTGTTGTTTCTTTTAATGTATTTTCATAGTATCTAGAAAGGTGCCTTCAAATAAAATGTATTACTGTTATTATTATGACTGAAGTTAAAGGATAAATTCAAGATATTTCTGGATGAAAGTGACTCTGCAATTTCACCATGTTGATATGATAGGATCAGCTTTACAAGCGACATTGAGGCTTTTATTTTTTTCTTTAAACTGTTTTATTAATATTTTTGGTGAACTATGGCTTTTTAAAGAGTTGGAGAGTGTTACAGAGACACTAATGTGTCTCTGTAACACTCTCTGTAACAGAAATGTGTGTTTACATGTAATGACTATGATTTTTACTATTCTACCACACTTAATTCGTATGGATGTAGCTTCATAGCTTTTAAAGCCACATTCGCCTTATCTAAACATTTTAAATTGTCCTTCCCACTGCTAAAGTGATTGGAGCTAATCTGTGTTGTATCTGTGCAGAGGTGTTTTCACTTTAAAGGTATAGCAGAGGATTTTTGACAATAATAATAAAAAAAAAACGTCCCTTCTTCACCTAAAAAAAACAAAAACAAATCCACTTACACCACCCTGTATCCTCTCCCGAGAGGGAATGGCAATTAAATGCATGCGAGAGCGTGCACAAGCCCATTATCACCACAATAATTGACAATTAAGAGGACCACTTATTTTGATGATCGATCCGGAAAAAAGAACATCCTCCACTATACCTTTTAACTTCCTCTGATTTTTGGCTGTTTTTAAAGCTTCTCTCCACCGTTTTATCTGATTTGTTTTTACACCCTTAAACTTGAAAACATAAAAAACAACTGTGGTGCTCTTACATGCGATCAGCAAAGTGAAAAGCTGCTTTCTGGCTAATCACAGATGCGATAATGAGGGAATGTGACGTCATGTAATAGCCTATACAGAGAAAAAAAAGTTCTGGAAGACGCTAAATTATCCCATTTATTCCTTAACCAGACATGACTACTTTAAGTGATAATCTGTAAAGTGTTTTAATTTTATCTCTTTGGTTTGAAAGCTCCAGTTTTTCTGTAAACCACAATTGTATATGTTTTTATCTCTTATGTGGAAAACCCCTCTCCTCAGACTGACTTTAGGGGGTAATCTAGAGTTCGCATCCTCCTACACTGTAATTAGATTCATATCAGCAAGTGTGAATATGCATTTGAATGTAGTGTGAAATGTGTGTTTACTGAAAGAGCCGTCTAGGCCTCAGTCAGTGGTAGAGCACATCTCAGGGACTTCCTCTGTTCGTCAACCGCGGCGAGACAGGCCTCGGCTTTGCAAACTCTGCACACAAATTAGTAAGATCTTAAGACTCTGCAGGAAGAGGTGCAAGATAAATTGAAGGCTTTATTTTGTTGATGAAAATCCAAATGCATGTTCTTAGAACGAACTCATGTGAACTGAAGAACTTTGCCTTTAAATATTGTTTTCAAATATGATGTATTTTCTTTTTAATGTCTGCTAAATCACCTTGTCAGCAAACAATTTTTTTAACCTGTTTTTCCCTCCTCCCTATGCTCCTCTTGCAGTTACATTGGAAAGTCAGACTCAATCACAATCAGTGTCTGGAACCACAAGAAGATCCACAAAAAGCAGGGCGCAGGTTTTCTCGGCTGCGTCCGTCTTCTGTCCAACGCCATCAACAGACTCAAAGACACGGGCTGTAAGTACCTGTTTGTATTTCTACCTGCATGTGTCAGTGAAATGAGGTCACTAGTGTCTGGTCCCTTTGTGTCATTTCTGCATGCTCGTCTTGCTCTCTATTCTAAGATACTTGTCAAACCTGTTGGATAAAGAGGCACCTGGCGACTCCTTGGATTTGCAAAACAAATAAATTATTGAACACTAATTATGTGGTTAGATTAGCTTTTTTAGACCTTGTTGCTCTTTGAGAATAGGTGAACTTTGTGGGTTAGACAAAGTGACTCCAACAACGCAGACAAAGGTGTTTGTGAAACAGTCCACTCTTAAAACGCTTTTAAATATGGGACTGGTTAAATTCCACTTTTGCTTTTTTGAATTTATTTGTGGGGGAAAAAAATAAAACATCTGTTAGCTTTCATTTTGTTCCAACTGGGGTTGCTACTAATGGATTTTCTTCTTAGAAGTTATGAAATGATTTTTAGTGTTATTTATTAAATCACCTGTAAAGAGTTATTCCAATCTCACATTAGCATTTTTTGTTTGCCACAAAAATGTAATCAAAGTATGAAATAAATGAACAAATAAAAATCTTGTATTTTTAGCCTGTAATATAAGATATAATACGACTGATTTAGAAATAAAGATGTTCTCTAGTCCACCGTGAGTGCAAATTCAAAGGAGCACGACAATATTTGCACTTTTAATGCAGTCTTAGACCTGGTTTATTAATAGAAATACCCAGAGTGAATACATAAAGTGGGATCAATATATATATTATAATATAATTTGATAAAAAAAAAAAAAAAGTGAGGTATACCTTTTAAGTTTGTCATATTTCAATATACAATAAAGGCTGTGATTACAGCATTTGTCACGGACTGACATGATTTCTTTTTCTAAAATGTTACATTTGAAACGTTTTATAAACTTGGTAAAGTAACTGTCGCATGTTTGAACAGGATTCTGTTGTGGGCATTCCTGGAAGTCTGGGGTTAAACTCAACCCACCAATATTTGGCTACTGATCCACCTTGCGAGGGATTAAGCAGTGCCAAACGACAAGAGAGTTTAAACCAGGCATCCCCAAACTTGGTCCTCAAGGGCCGCTGTCCTGCAGGTTTTAGAGGTTTCCTTGCTCCAGCACAGCTGATTTTAATTGAAAGCTGATTAACAGGCTATTGCTCTACTGCAATCATTACAATCAGCTGTGCTAAAGCATGGAAACCTCTAAAACCTGCAGGACAGCGGCCCTTGAGGACCAAGTTTGGGGATGCCTGGTTTAAACGGTCTTTGAACTAACTCAGCATTATGGTTCATAATGGGTCTACCAAGCTGTGTAAAAGATGTTTTTGAACACATTAACTCGGTTGCTTGCACATATACCGTAGAAATATCTCTGCTGGACCTCCAGTCAGCTCTAAGAAAAGATGTCATTTCATCAGTGACAGCCATGTGCGTTGGTTTTGGTGTGCATATCTAAGTTTATTTACATCCTGTACAAAGCTGGGTTTTGTGCAACGCTCTGCTCCCTTTCTGTGTACATATTTTATTTTTATTGGTCTATTGCGCCTACAGTATCAACAAATGCTTGTGTCATTTTAAGGCATTTGTCCTGGTAGCTGCAAAGCAAAGATCCGATGATATTCACACTGCTGCTTTTGCTGATGGTGATTGGCTACAAGGGTTGTCACAATACGACACATTTAACTGGATATCTGGATATCAAGAATAATATTGCACACTCCAGAGAATTTTTGATGTAGATATAACGGCGAGTACTTAAAGGCATTCAAGAAGAACTCTATTACCTTGAAAAACTCCCATTTTTCCATCACATAATGAAGCTTTCTTCTTCTTCTTTTTTTAATACTTTTAACAGGGGTGGGGGACAGCAATGCAACAAAAAAAAAATGAAATTACAGACAGATTTTATGTGTACAGGTTACAATGTATGTAGGGATACATAAAGACTCTAACAGGTGGAGTTTCTTTACAGAA